GGATGGCGATCCGTTTCTCGCCAGAGTCCACTCCACGAAGGTGGCGAAATCCTCTCGAGGACCATCTTCGGACGACGGCACTCTGCTCGCGGTGTTCAAGCTTGTCAAAGAATGAGCAGAGCGCGTCGTCCGGGTAGCTGGTGGTGCTAGCTAACAGCCGGAACAGTCTCGTATGGTCCTCTAGAGATCTGTCCCCCTGCTCCAGCAGGAGGAGGAGGAATTCCAAGCGGGTGAAGAGATCCATAAGGGGAAACACAACAGAAACAAAAACACAGAAAAAACTAAAACAAAAACAAAAACGGAGGGTAGACACACGGAGGGAACTGTATTCGGTCGGGTCTTCTGTCACAATACGCTGGAGCACGGGCACGAGGAAGCAAGGAGACGTGGAGATTTCACAGAATGAGAGTCTTTTAATAATCCAATAGGGCGATACAGAGCACAAGGATGACGTTCACAACTTATAAACACAGGACAATTACCAAACACAGGTGCACAGAATGACTAATTAACTAAACGAGGACAGGAACATGACCAAATAAGGGAACACAGGAACAGAAACAGGGGCAAAACATAACAAAACATAATTCTTTTAGATAATGTAAGAGCCAGGATTTTATAATCGTTATTTAATAAACTTATTGGGCGCCAATTTTCAATCAAAAGTAAACCTTTTTTTGGTTTGGGTATGAGGGTTATTATTCCGTGAGATAAACTAGGAGGAAGTTTATGGTTTTTGATACTCTCAATGAAGACATTTAAAAGGAAAGGGGCAAGAATATCTGAGAATTGTTTATAGAATTCTGCTGCAATGCCGTCATTGCCAGGTGATTTGTTACATTTAAGATGTTTGATAGCATCAACTACTTCTTCTACGACAATATCTTGATCACAGCATTCTTTCTCTAAAGCACTAATTGTATTAGTATTTTTAAGGGAATCGAGAAAAAAGTAGCCGAATCATTACAATAGCTAGATTTATAAAGATTAGCATAAAAATTATAACAAAAAAGAGATAGCTTGTGGGTCATCAGTAACAATACCATTAACATTAAGGTGATGAATTGTGTTATGTTTACCTCGCTGTCTTTCAAGTGTAAGGTCCACACACTCTGGCCCAAGGAAGGTATCCAGTGGTGGATGAAGGTCACTTGCGTGTTCGGTCTTTTCAGCGCGCAGAGTTATTCAATTTAAGTTTAACTCAATCTGACTCCATTTTATTATCTCATCGAATTTAGGTTGAAAGGGAGATCGGTTGTTTGTCGGTCTCTGATTATTCTGACATTCGATTATTCTAATTAACTCTTTACTTTGTATTTTACTCGTTCATTAGGAATTTATGTCGTTTTTAGGATGCCTCACGGCGGCCGCCATGCGTGGGCTCCACGATCACAAAACTCGCCATTCTAATCCTTATTCAGAGGTTTGTGGCTAATACTATTTAATATACCTTAAATAGTAGGTCGGTTTAGCCCCCTACAGCTACCCATGTAATATTCCGACATTAATCAGTGGTTCTTCTGAAACCCTTTGTTCAGACCCCAATAGCTAATATTCCTTCGTACAACTTAATTAATTCTGAAATCATATACATGGTTAACGTAGCTGAGTACAACTTAAAACTAAGGTCAAGCGGTTAGTCAGAAACCTATAATCTCACTTGATGCGCCCCATGCTTCATCTAATCCTGAGATCTAGTGTGCACATAACCCTGGACGCAGATTTGCGGAGACATACGCATTCACTTAATCTACTTGAGAAAATAATTTCAGAGTAAGTCAGAATAAATCAAATGTAACAATTTATTATCAGTCAGGTAAATATGTATTATGCCAATTATCTCCACAGCCAATTCAACGATATCAAATCAATACAAGACATCAAATTCTCAAAGACGAATCTAAGAGTAAAATGCATACCTGACATTAGACGAATCTAAGAGTAAGATGCATACCTGACCTTTTAGAAAAATACATAGTGTGAAGTGTGTGGACACACTTCATACTACGGGCTCTCTGGCTACCGAATCGCCCTGATCCTTTTGGAAAAATACATAGTACAGTGTGTGGAGACACTCCATACTACGGGCTCTCTGACTACAGAATCGCGCCGACCCATTTGCTGCAATCCTTTAAATACAAAACCAAGATCAAATACCCCCAAATGCATGTATAAACGATTGGAATTTGCATGAGCCCAGGTCCCAGACCTGGGTGGTTTGCACCTCAATGGGAACAGAAGGTAATTTGCATGGAATGACCCTCTACAGTAATCAAAGTATCTCTTAAGATCTGTGTTATCTTTTAGTCTACGTTTGTAAGATTAAGACCATTATACCACTCGTCCTGAGACTATTCAAATGATACCACACATGACTGTAAATCTTATTTGCATTCATATAGAACATTATATTCTACCATTGACCATTCTGAGTGAGCTGTGTGAAGAGAAGGATGGGTGCGGGGAAGGAAGGGGATGAGGAGGAACCAATGCATATGCGAGAGACGTTTTCCCGCATTTTCTCTCAGTGAGATGCGGAAACAGATGTCTGTATGTTAATGCACTGTGTGTGTATTGTCTGTCTCAGAAGATCAAAGTGTCTGAGGTTCTGTAATTCTTACACAAGGTTAAAGAAGTATGAGGAATTTTGTTCCCCCTGTTCTAACTACTTAACTCTAGACCTGACAAATTCACCTTCTGCTTTACGTTTATATATCTCATCCAGTTTACACTGTAAATCACTTAATTGTATTTTTTCCTCAGGCGAAAGTCTATCGGGAGAAACCATGGAAAGAGAGGTAATTTCAGATACAATTTGCTCCACCAAAATTCTATTAAGTTTAGAAAGAAAACTACCATAAGACCTTAAATATTTACCAACTTCATATTTTAGAAGTTCCCAATACCTGCTAAAAGTACCTTCCTTTTGTGCCAAATCCCAGTAAAAGGATATTAATTTTATAAGTTCCAATTTGACTGCCTCATGTCTTAGATGAGAAACATTCATTTTCCAAAAGAAGTATGACATGACGCTACAAAAGAGGAAGATCTAATATTTATATAAATTGCCTTGTGATCTGTAACTAGAATGTTTACTGACATATTCTCTTTTAAAATGCTCCCCGAAACCAGAAAGAAATCTATGCGGGACTGCCTTATACCATTTTTGTTACTCCATGTATAAGAGCACTGATTAGGATAAATTTCCCTCCATATATCAATCAAATTATATTTCTGCATAAAAGTCTTTAAAATAGTATTGGATGAACCCTTTGGAGGCCATCTATCAACCATGCCATTGAAGGTAATATTAAAATCCCCTCCAATCAGTAAAAATGCCTGTGGGTGCTTATGAAACCAGAGTAGAATCCTTTCCTCTAAAGATTCAAAAAGTTTATCATTTTCAGTATTAAGGTTGTATCCATAAATGTTAACCAAAATAAATACTAAATTATTCCAACACAAATAAATAAATTACTTTTTTTAAAATTGATTTCCAACATATAATATAAAGGTACTGAACAAATATAAACTACAAAAAAGAAATAGAAAATATACAGTATTATATAAATAATAATACAGGTAAAAAATAAATAAAAAAATAAATAAAAATAATAATAATAAAAAAACTAAACAGAAAAAAGAACAGGTATGAGATCATCATATAAATAACAGAAAAGCTTCACAAAGAGACCTAGTGCGTTTTGCTTTACTGTTTTTCAACCCAAGTAGTAACTCAATATAATTTTTCATAAATAAATGACTTTCCATTTCCGTTCCAAGAGAAGGTGTCTTCGTTTCACAGCCCCGCCTCCAGGGTGTTGTGCGCATGCGTAGTAGCGGAAGAGAGCTGATAAACGCATTGAGTCCGTCTGTTCAGTAGTACCACAGTACAATGACTCCGTAAACTACCGTTAAACAAACATATCTGCCGTGTATTCACAAGTCCGCGTGCTTATATGTGTGTATGATGGCGTGGGGAGTGTGCAGCAGGGCTCTGGTGTGGATTATAACTGCGATCATATGCTGGAGTCACTGCAGCCTGATGGTGAGTTACTGATCCATTACACTAGCTACTCCTGATCACTGATCATTATAACGCAGGTTAACACAATTATACTAGAGTCAAAGGAGCTTGATGATGAGTCTGAACACTGCCGATCGATTACCGTCCTCCTGATCTCTGATCACTTTGACCTGTGGCCCTGTATCGTCTTTTTATTATTAGTCTAGTTTGGGCGCCATTGAATATGTGTAAGGATGAACTGTGTTGACCTGCTATCTGATCTGAGTGTATGAACAATGAAGACTTTTCAGATATGCACAAAGAGCAAAATATGGCCTACAGAAACAAGCTGTGCTGTTATATATGATGCTGAAGCCCTGATCCGTGTATGTGGATGATCAATAGTGTCAAGAGTTATCTTAAAGGGGTCATATGATGCTTTTTTAAAGATCATTATTTTGTGTATTTGGTGTAACAGAATATGTTGACATGCTTTAATGTACAAAAAACACATTATTTTTCAAATACTGTACATTATTGTAGGTCCTCTATGCCCCGCCTCTCTCAAACGCTTCGTTTTCTACAAAGCCCCCTCCTTTGACAAGCGCAGTCCGCTCTGATTGGCCAGCTGACCCAGTGCACTGTGATTGGCCGAACACCGCAAGCACTCGTCGGAAATGTAACGCACCTTACCATAATCGCGAGCTTCATCTTTCAAAATAAATGTAAAGACAGAGCAATGTCTTTACTCTGGGGAACAGAGTCGCGTGACAGACACAGTGAGGAAGCTGGTATGTGTTTGCAGTACACAAGCCACGGTTAAGACAGCTGACTCCACTGTGATGTGACCCCCCCTCTCTCTCTCTCGCGCTCTCTCTCAGGGATCTTATCTATGCACAATCAGCTTGTAACACTCCAAAGAGAAAGGAAAACTTGAAATCGCATCATATGACCCCTTTAAGATCTATAATGATAACTATGTTAAAGCTAACACCGGTGGACGATAGGGCTGGGCGATTTTTCCGATTTTATCGATTAATTCGAATTTATTGTTTTGCCAC